GATCTTTATAAAGTATTGAAGAGCAGAGATGTCAGCTTGAGGACTAAGGTGCGCCTGATCCAAGCCATGGTATTTTCAATAACCTCATATGGATGTGAAAGCTGGACAGTGAATAAGGAAGATCGTAGAAGAATTGATGCCTTTGAGTTGTGGTGTTGGAGGAGAATACTGAAAGTGCCATGGACTGCCAAAAGAACCAATAGATCTTTTGGAAGAAGTGCAGCCAGAGTGCTCCTTGGAGGCCAGGATGGCTAAGCTTCGTCTCTCATACTTTGGACATATTGTCTGGAGGGAACAGTCATTGGAGAAGGATGTCATGCTGGGTAGGGTGCAGGGTCAGAGAAAAAGGGGAAGACCCCTAACGAGATGGATTGGCCAGGTGGCATCATTGATGGACTCAAGTGTGGCAGCGGTAGTGAGGTTGGCCCAGGATCGAGCATTGTTTCGTTCTGCTGTGCACGGGGTCGCTATGAGTCGGTTCTGACTCGATGTCACCTGACAACAATAATAACAAAGGGTCGCTGTGAGTGGGAATCAGTTCCATGGCGGTAGATATGATCACACCTATGAAATTTAATAATAATTCACTAATAATACATAATCTTCAGTCTATGTCCAGTTTTTCCCCAGTTGTCTTAAAAATGCCATTCTACTAATATTTGGTTGAGTCGAGTTGCAAAGAAAGTTTATGCATCATACTCATGTCTCTTTTTACCTTGAACCATTTCCCTCCTTTTACAAATGTTATTTTTGTTGTTGTTGAAGAAACCAGGCCAATGTCGTGTAGGTTTTTCCTACCTTCGGGATTTGGCTGCTTGCAACCTTGTGTGATCTAACATCTTCCTTTGTTCCCAGAATGCCTTGTAAACTGGTTGCTTTATCTTGAAGCTTGATCAGATTCTGGTTCCATCTTCTGGGTAGGAATATTTCAGAGGTGATGCCATGCAGTTTGTTGTAGAGTATATCAGGAGGCAGTTTCTGTTCTCACCTTTCAAATGATGTTACTGATTGTCAGTGAGTCCCAGGTATTATCCACCTGATCCATCCATCATAGCGTACCCCTTAACCTTTCACCTAATGATATTACCCCAACACATTATTTCTTTAGGGATTACTGAGTAGTGATTTTATCATTCCCTTCTGAACTTACTACCATCTATGAAGAAAAAACTTTTCCTTAACAAATCTTTGATGAATCTGAAAAATGCTTAATTTTTGTTTTTAGGAAAAGCAATATACATGCTTAATCCTTTCCTTTTATTTATCAAATTTTGGATTCATTTATAAATTTTATCAATTAAGGTTTATTTTCTTTTACAAAAGGAGAGAAGGAAATATTATTAAGAACACATGGATTTTTATATATTTGAAGTATTTCAACCCATTGCAGTCATTATGTTTTGGACAGTAGGAGCCCCTTAAAGCCCGCTCCTTTGTAGTTTGTGAGATACTTAACATACATTAGTCACTCAAACTTCACAGACAACCCTGTGATGGTAGATATTATAGCTCAGTTTTATAAATGAGAACTCTGAAGCTCCAGGGGTGAAATGACTCACCCAAGATTATGTGGCTTGAAAGTGGAGAGCCAGGATCTGCAATCCATTGTCCTTTCCATTAACTATAATAATGGCTGAGAGAACCAGAGTGTTAAAAGCGGCTGGACTTGTTTTCTTTTCTCTGGCTTTGATATTAAACAGCAGATGCCTTTAACCAGTGGGAATATGATATTAAGCAATATCCACTTAGGAAGGCATTACTTGTAGCAAACACTGTTGAGAATAATGTTATGCTGATAATACTGTAACTTAGTAAATAGCCTGTCTCAACTTTGTTTGTGAAGCATTTCAATTTTGATTACTCTGTATGGGATCTACTGCTCAGATGTGTATCATTTTATGGTCTGCACATGTCTGGGGAGCTGGCATTACACGCTGCCTAGTGTTTTTAATTCAGAAGTTCTTCTAAAAGAAAACTTAGCCTCTTATATTCAAACCCTAGTTTTAATAGCATAAGCTATTTCCTTCTTATATAGCTTTGTGGGCATAGTAATAAAATAAATACCACAAAATCACTGATGAGATGAAAATTGAGCTCCCTGCTTCTGTGCAGCCATGTAGGTAAAACAGTAATTGGCTCTGATAATAACTTTTGTTCTTACAAACCGAAGTCTAAATGAGAGTCACATTTGATATATCTGCATGTAATTACTATCAAAAGGAGAGACTACCAAGTTTAGATTACTTAGTGACTCAAGATAGAGTAAATCAATTATTGTCTTTTCTTGACTTATTTAAGAAAATATTCTAAAACCACTTCTGAGGTATATCTTAGTATCGATAAAAACGTGATCATCTTCTAGAACTTGCTTTACTGCTTAATGAAATGATTAATTTCATTTTTATTCTTAAAAT